GATGAGGCCTCACCAATGCCGAAAAGAGGTGAATGATCACGTCCCTCGATCTGGCAATGCCCCTACTTATACAGCCCAAAATGCAGTTAGCCTTCTTGGCAACAAGGGCACATTGTCGACTCATATCCAGCTTCTCGTCCACTGTAACCCCTAGGTCCTTTTCTGCAGAACTGCTTCCTAGCCATTCGGTCCCTAGTCTGTAGCAGTCCATGGGATTCTTCCGTCCTAAGTGCAGGACTCTGCACTTGTCCTTGTTGAACCCCATCAGGTTTCTTTTGGCCCAATCCTCTAATTTGTCTGGGTCCCTCTGTATCCTATCCCTACCCTCCGGCGTATCTACCACTCCTCCCAGTTTAGTGTCATCTGCAAACTTGCTGAGAGTGCAGTCCACACCATCCTCCAGATCATTAATGAAGATATTGTTATATTTAAGGACTTCAGATTATTCTGATACTATTCCTGCAGCTTTCCAGCTCATTCATTAAGTGAAATAAGATGCCTGTCTACATCAGGAGAGAGCATATTCGTGTTATTCTGGGCAATGGAAAGGACTAAAACTTGACCAGTGCTCCTGCTGAACTTTCCGAGACACTAGAAATCAAGCTACTTGGCTGCTGGACACAGGAGACATACTTCCCATATTTACTTCTCCAGGAAGTTCACCAGTTTACCAGACAGATCTTGGCTGCACTAGTCAGTTTTTCCACAGCTCCCATCAATTATGCTTCATCCAACATAAGAACGGGGTTTGACGCAGCCAAAGTTAGATACCACACTCTATCTGGGGCATGTGCTAATTTTCGATAGAGTTTAGGCTCTGCAACCGAATGGGGCTGAGAAGCGGCAAGGCACTACAGCCCTTCATTAAGGAAGGCCAGGGAACCTAGAAGCATTAGTCTCAGAATCCCACAACACTGGTTCTGATGCACGTTCGTGATTGAGAACCACTCATCTTGATAATTTCGGGGGTTTAACAAATGGAGTTTTCCCTTTTCTTGGAAAGGTGAACAAAACCAAACCATTTCTGGGCACCAGAGAGAATGACTACGATACAAGCCAGAAAACAGCAGCAGCATCACCACATCCCAAGCTCTGTTAACAGTAGAGAGACAGGCTCCCTGTTACCTATTTCCAGCTGCTGAAGCTCCTGTTCCGAGATAGTTGTTGCCCGTTCTGAGGAGCTGCTGCTCTTGGTGGGGACAGGAGCCAGGGAGGAGAGGGAAAGTGGATCGCAGATCCTAGGTAACTCCTTGCACAGATTCCAAGGGGTTACCCCAGTCTTCTCGGTCAGCTCCAGAGATGGTGGCTGCAAGGTTTGGGATAGGCAAGGAGCTGACCCAGGGCTAGCCAAAGTCTCAGAAATCAGGCTGACTGTTGGGGACAGGGAGGTGTGCAGATTGTTTTTTTCATCCAAAGATAAGCATCTAGGTTCTCTGTATTCTCTCCAAGGGTTCTTCACATCTCCCACTACAAAACAAAGGCATATACAGGACTGTTCTAGAGAGATGCAGCACGCTTCTAAAGCGGGAAGCACTGTATCTTGCTGTGGAATACCCAAGGGCTTCAAAAGATGAAGCCTGTAACTTCCCTGTAAGTCAGTTCCTGGCAGATTACAAACTCTCCAGGAGATGGATGAGATAGTCTCAAAGAAGGAACATTAGCGTATGGACAGGTTTTACTTAGGGATGTGACAAACACACTATTTTCAGATTTGCTATATACCAAACACCAGCTGTTTGCCGTTGGATAGTGGGAGACACATGGGGCTCTGGGTTGCCTACCACAGCCTTGGCTCATGCTAACATTAGCCTCAAAGAGAGCACAACATCTGCTTCCAACAATGAAGAGGGATGCAAGAGAGCAATAGTGCTCAAAATAGCACTATCTGGCCTTTGAACTCACCATGGCTCCTTTCTTGAAGATTTATACGAACAGGGTCAGCTACAGGCCCCCGTCCAACCCCAGGGTGTTTTGCGCATACACGAGGAGCAGCAAGGCAGCACCAACAGGAGTCATTTTGTGCATTACTTGCATGTGGGAAAGGCTTTGCATCACAAGAAGCATGTTTCAGATGTGGCTGATTTCTTCCCAGTTGTACTTAGTAATAAATGAGCATGACCTTAGAAGCAGGACATTCTTACCCTCCTGCAAAGCTATGTCAGCCTTAGTCTTCAACTCAGCCGCAGAAGCTCTTTTAAGTGGCTCCTTCTCTAGCCCTGCTTTAATGATCTCGACAGTGGAACGGTTACAGGAAGGTGGGATTTCCCTCAAAGGAGGTGGCTCCTTGACTATCTGTATCACATAAAACAGCAAGGGAAAGAGGTTAAACTGAATGAACAAACATTCCAGTCTGCTTCCAAAAGAGACAAGTTCTCCCCTAAGCTGGCCACATCCACCACTTATCTGGGTCTCTTGATGCCATGGCTTAAAAAGCATGGAATCGGGATCAGAGGCCTGGTAACAATTCATTCTACAAATAGTTAAGAACGTTCACCTCAGTGATGAGCAAAGGAGAAACAGGAAGAAGCCAGTTCATGCACACAAGTAAAAGTAAGCTGCTCCCAAATTAAGAACACCACCACCTTCTAGTCCCCTATATGCACCTTTCAGATTTTATCCCTGTAGCTCACTCCAGCTTGCTAGATAGAATCAGAGTTTGTCTGTCACTCTGGATTTCTGACACAGCGTGCTGTTGGTCACTCACCTTTAAGCAAAGAGGGTGGTTGTAATACCGGGTCCAAGGATGACACCCATTAAGCATGTGCAGCATCATGCAGCAGCTGCTCCAGACATCCACCTTTGAGTCACAGCGTTTTCCCATTACTACCTCTGGAGCCATGTGAGTCTCTGTGCCAGGCATGTAGCACCCTAGGGACACAAGTCAAACTCAGAGATTGCCATCGACCTGCTGAGTGTACACTAAGTAGTAGTCAAAATGTGATCCAGGAGCCAAACGCAGCCCACAGGTGCCCAAAACTTTCATACAGAGCTATAGCTTACAAGGCAACTTGGCCCCAAAAGGGACAATACAGAACCATGGCAGAACCTTACCTGTCACCAAGCACTTCCCCAAGCCATCGGGATGAAGGCGAGCAGAGTGGCCGAAGTCGCAGAGGACAGCCCGGCTTCCATCACTGGATAAGAGCACGTTGTCCGCTGCCAGTGAAAAGGCTTAAAATCAATTTCCTATTCATTGAAGTCAGCCCTATACAAAAGAAGCCAAAGCCAGGAGCCAGAGTCCTTGTTGAACCCAAACCTAGGACTCTTCTCATGCTCACAAAAGTAAGCAAATACCAGCAACTAGAGCAAGGCATAATGCTATGCATGAGTCTGCCAATTCTGACCTGCAGAGTCCCCTCTACTCCAGGGTTGGGCCTCCCCAAGCACAGTCATGCCAAATGGAGGGGTAGAGAGGAATAAGTGGAGCTTACTATACTCACCACTTCTGACTGAATGTACAGCGCCTGAAAGGCTAGTGCACTAACCCGCTGAGCCACCCAGCAGCCATCTGGAATTAGTAGGAGCCTGTTCTGTCAGATGTTAAGAGGAAGAGGAGTAATAGGGTGTTTTACATGGAACCCTACCTTTGACATCTCCATGCAGAATGTGGTGAGCATGAAGATACTCCAGACCCTCTAATGCTTGACCCAGGTAACTGAGGGCTCTATCCTCTGGCAAGTAGCCACTTTGTTTAATCAGCTGCCCTAGTGAGCCACCTAGGAGAGAATTCAGAGTGCACACATTTCAGTCTTAGTTCTGCCCAGTACTCCTCAGAAGCTTTAACATTCCTCCCTTTCTGCTAGGGCCAAAGAAAGCCCTAAGATCAGAGGGGTGACATTTGCCTCCCACGAATGGGAAAGTTCCTGTTATTTATTCCCAGAGTTCTTGCTGTCCAAGGTAACCTCCATTTTTCAAGTCCTTTACTTTGGTCTCACATAACTCAGTGACCTCACAGCAACCAATTATCAATCTGACAGGACCAACCCCATCCAGTCTCTTCTGGTCATCAACTGATCCCTGAAGAGGCTGTGCTTTCTGTTGCCCCTGGTTGAGAAGAGGAGCTGTGTGCAGGGGAAGTATCAGGTTCAACACATGCTCCCTGCTCCATACCAGTATATTACATGAGATCAGAGAGATTCATTTCACAACTTTGGTCTCAGTAGCAAACACTGTAGCATCAAAGGAGACAGGTGCTTGCTTTAGTTATAGGCTTGGAGGAATTTTGTCGGCTTTCTAGTTTTAGAAATATAAATCCAGAAGTGGGAGGATCACTCAAAATAGATGTCCATTTCTATGTACTAGTGGTGTTGACCTGCCACAGCCGCCAGCCCCCCTCCCCCAAGAAATTAACTCTAGAGAAAATCCAGAATACCACCAAAGGGATAAAAACATTTAAAATTGTGGCCGGGGAGGAAGGGGGGATGGGGAAAAGAGGGAAGACAAGGACATCAATGCCCACTTTGTTTGATGGTTACAAGGATGCTTCCATCTTCCTTACCCTCCATTAGCTCCATGAAGATAGTAACCCAAGGACCTTCCTTCACAGCTCCATACAAAGGGACAACTTTGGGACTTGTTACTCCAGCACATGTCGTCAACTCCTCTGCACGAAAGTGTTCGACTTGCACCTGGAGAAACAGAGAAGAAAAACTGGAGAGTCAAGATGTTGGATTCCAACAGCTCAGCTAGGTCTGTACCAACACCCTCCCCTTAAAGGATTCCTTTGGAAATGCAGCTCTGCCCTCCACACGTGGGACAGCACCACTCAAAATTCTGGCCAAACGCACTCTCTCTGTGCACTAGAACAGATTATCTCTGTTCCACAGCCAGAGCCAACTGGACTTTAGCAACAGAGGACAAGAGAGACAGTACTAGGTGTTTTGAGCCAGACACTTTTGAAGAAAGAAAGAAATGCACTACAAGAATCCCTAGCACTCAAAGCTACATAGCATTTTAAAAATGGCCAGAAGACATAGCTCAGGCTTCAGTGCCCTCTCCCCAGAATGCCTCCTCCCCTTGGTCTCCAGATTATGGCTGAGAATAACATTTTGGAAGGAAGATAAAATCAGCTCTAGTTGTGTCTTGTTTAAAAGGGAAACTGGTAACTTCACACACACTTCAGTCTGAACATTCATCTAGCCCAACACATTGCTCAAACTAGAGGAAAATTTCCTGTCAATCTCACTTTTCAGTTTGCTCTGTACATTTGATAGCACACACTGTAGTCAGTGTCCCTGTTTGTGCGTGTCTTTCATACAACAGGAAGAAAACATTTTTATAAATACCAGGAAAATGTGATGTTAAAAGCCACAAAGGAGAAGAAAAACCAGGGGAGGTGTAGCACCCAGAATAACTTGTAAGTAATTTTTTGAAATAGACTCTATTTCAAGTTCTCTTTATATGCCCATGTACAGTAATCTGCTCTATTCATCACCACCTCTTTAGGCAGTAGCTATGCTACACAAGAAAAACTAAGTAGAAAGTTGATTCACATCAGTAGGCCAAACAAAACAAAACTAGACACTGCTGAAGACAAGAAGGAAACCATGACTCATTTGGACACTGGTGGGAAAAGGATGCATCATGTTTCATTGTTGTCAATGGTCCAGCCATAGCTGGATTGATTGAGTTCAATCTCAAGAATTTAAAAGCCAGATGCTGAAATCAAGTTTGATAAGACATGGGTAGGTAGCTCAAGTTCCGTAAAAACAGAGGTGGTATTAATTTCGGGCAAGCCAGGCATTGCACCTCATTTCCACACAGGGCCTGCTCCAGCTTTGTTGCCACCCCAAGTGGGGGAGCAAGGAGGGGGGGGGGGGGAGAGAAGAGATCCACAATCAGCAGCCGGTCTACTGCGCCGCTTCATTCTTTGGCAGCGGGTCCTTCACTCCGAGAGGGATTCACTGCTGAATTGCCACCGAAGACCCGGACATGCCGCCCTTTCCATTGGCCGCCCCAAGCACCTGCTTCCTTTGCTGGTGCCTGGAGCCGGCCCTGTTTCCACATTAGTGACTTTAAAGTATCATAACTTGGATCTTCATATTTCTTAATTGCTGGTTAAAATCCACCTATTTTTGACTATGAAGAAATGTGTTCAGTCAGAAATCTATTCCTTTATCTATACAGCTGCCTTCTGAAACCTGTGGGTAACATTTTCAAACACTTAAGTCCCATTTTCAAAAGTGACAGACATTTTTGAAAATTTTACCCTGCAGCAACTAGGACCTGGGTGGGGAAATAGTATGTGGGGCAGGGGATTGGGGTACGGGTGCAGGAAGGGTCTCCAAGCAAGGGATTGGGGCAGAGGAGGGTGCGGGGTGTACGAGGGGGCTCAGGGCAGGGGGTTGGGGTGCAGGAGGGGTGAGAGGTGCACAGGGTAGGGAGTTGGGGTGCGAGGTGCAGGCAGGGGGCTTAGGGCAGGGAGTTGGGGGGTGGGGTACAGGAGGGGTTCGGGCTCTGGCCCCGCTTACCTCAAGCAGCTCCAGGGTGGCAGCAGCACGCACTGGGGCCAGGGCAGGCTCCCTGCCTGCCCTGTCCCTGTCCCGCTCCAGGAAGCGCTGTGGCCCCTGGGGAGGGGGCGCGGAGGGCTCCAAGTGTGCTGCCCTTGCCGCGCCTCCAGGTACCTCCCCCAAAGCTCCCATTGGCCACAGTTCCCCATTCCCGGCCAATGGGAGCTGTGGGGGGCAGTGCCTGGAGGCAAGGGAAATGCATGGAGCCCTGTGCCCCTCACAGGAACGTGGTGGTGGCAGTGCCGCAGGCCGCATCCAAAGCCCCGAAGGGCCAGATCTGGCCTGCGGGCTGTAGTTTGCCCACCCCTGAACTAGGACAATACAACTGTAGCAAAATTATCTGAGTGCATGTGTTTGCCAGGTAGATAATTAACCCAAATGAAGAGATTTTGTATGTTATGACATCGGCATCACTTGCTCGTGTAGTGGCCATAAGTCATTGGGTGTGTCTATTTTTTAAATGTACTAGGTATCATGGCAAATTTTAGTATTGCAGCATTTTTTGGTTTGTATCAACTCTCTCTCCTGCACAGCTCACAAGTGAAACATGTCAGCAGAGATCAGATGTATTATTTTTTCAACTTGGCTAATTATATTTTTGCTTGTTTGTCTCCACCAGGTAATCAGTCAAGTTGAGATTTATTTATTTATAGTATAGAAAAACAGTTTTTAAAAAGTGAAAATACATACTCAAAAGGATTCTGAACCCAAACTTTCTAAAAGTCAGTTCCTCCCACACTCTTGACTAGAGTAATATAGGGGGTAAAAGTATTTTTTAACAGCCAACAGAAAGTACATGCACTCTGATATCTAGAGGACTATGTAGTGAGATTATGAGAGAATGCAAACTTGTATTAATATACCTACCTACAAAAGTGGGGGCATAGCTAAGACAAATCTTCAAAGAAATTCCCAAGTTCTATGCGCATCAAGCAACATTTCATGAAAACATCTGACTTTGTTTACTATACAATATCTAAAACATGCTGGACCACGTAGGATCCTGGAAAAGTATAGTTCCTTTGCAGAGCCCAGAATACAAATTCACTACACTTTACAGGCATTGTTTAAACAGAATATGCAAATGATAATGCCGAGAAAATGCCTTAAAATTAACCCCCTTTTAGGGTATAGGCAGCCACACATTTTTCCAGGATACACTCATCCAGTATAGAAAGGAGCACCTAACCTTTTGCTCTTTGCTTTTGGACACATTTTAAGAATACAGTTAGATTCATGCAGCAGCTAAAAACATACTTCTGATCTTTAAGATTACCCAGAGTCCACATAGCTTCTCTCAGCTCACAGTAACAAGTGAACCTCACAGAATGCTGTGAAGGTCGATAGAAGACGATCTGATCACTGAAATACAGGCTCCCTCACCTCAGACAAAAGTTCTGTTTGGCGTTTCCGTACCAATGCTTTGCAGTTTGCCCTTGGATGCACAGCCTCATTAGCACTGACTCTCATATCTAGAGTTCTTGGGAGTTGGAATGAAAACAGACCCAGCTTTTACTTTCTTGGTGCCTTCTTTTTTTGGACATATCAAGCTTTCCTGTTTTCTTAAGTTACCTTTTTGGCAGCACACTGAAATCCCGTCTGTTTGTCCTCTATTTTGTACACTTCCCCAAAAGAGCCAACACCCAGAGAGTCCTGGCACTTGGTCCAGTGAACCTCTTCTCGGTATTCATAGTCCACCGGCTTTAGTTTCTAAGGATTAGAAGTAAAGACAAGATGAAGCAAGCATGCAGGAACATGGCTGCCAATCTGCTGTGTCAAGTCTAAGAAGGAGAGCAAAGAGTTGGGATTTTCAAAATAAACTAGAAGAGTTAAAGCAGCAAAGAGTCCTGTGGCACTTTATAGACTAACAGACGTATAGAAGCATGAGCTTTCGTGGGTGAATACCCACTTAAAGCTTATGCTCCTAAGTGGGTATTCACCCACGAAAGCTCATGGTTCTATACGTCTGTTAGTCTATAAAGTGCCACAGGATTCTTTGCTGCTTTTACAGATCCAGACTAACACGGCAACCCCTTATAGAAGAGTTAAGGGTCCCAGAATCACTCAGTACCACCTCTGGGATGGGATTTTCAATTATTGCCTTCAACAAGCCCTCCCCTCCCTCTAGATTTCTTGGGTCACTGGTTGGGTCTCTAGGATCAAAATGACTATCCCTCCGTCCCAATGAGAAAATGAGCCATCCCCTGGAGACCTAAAGATTTCTAGGTAACTAGTCTATCTTTTAAAGGCTGTCCTTTCCACAGGCTGAGCAATGCAATACACCCACTGGACACTGCTGTAACAGCTAATGCAACAAGATCCAGAAGTTGAAGCAGGTGGATATTTTGTGCTGCACGATTTACATGTGCTTCCATTGTCCCAGGAAGCCCTGCCTATGCAATGGGTATTTAGCTGTGTAATCACCCAGCTTGTTGGTACGTGGAACAAACAGGTGCAGGTGCAAGGGAAAAATCTTGCAGGTGCAGCTTATCAACCCTCTGACTACTGGATTCAAAATAAACTGCAAATTGCCTATGGCAAATAAAAGCTTATGACCCATTCACCCATGCGGCCCTTTTACCATTGAAAAAATAATCAAAAGAAATCTTTGAAGACTGGCTATGTGCCAAACTTCTTCCTACTATAAACACCCACTATACCGAGCTCTTGATGGCTCTCACTGAGGCATTATAAGCCACACGGAACTATGAAGGACATTGCAGATTGCAAGAGTTAGAGTATTGCTTAAATTCACGCACACTCTCTATGGGAGAAATTACACCACTACAGATATGACTCCATCTCTGAGTTAACTCTACTGAAGTCTTTTCCCTGCATCACTAAGGCATGTAGATGTGTAAATTCACAGTCCTATTAAACAGAGATGGACACACTGCCTGCCACCAGGCTGAAAGTATCACCTCAGTAAGCAGCACCCCCTCATTGTCATCTGTCTCTTGAAACTGCTCCTTCAAATCCAGACCGCCTCCTCTCCACGTCTTGGCCAGGCTGGCTAAGTTCTGCGGCTCACCGAGACTCACGCTCCCCTTAAGAGCATCCACCAAATATTCTTCCACAGAAAGTTTGTCCAAGTTGGTTTCCAGGGACTGGCTGACACATTTTGGTAAGCTGCATTCTAAACTTAGGCCAGAAAAGCAACGCTCACCATTCACACAGGCCCGATCATCAAGGAGATTAATCTCCCGAGGATTAGGTTTCATGGCACAAAGAGGACTGTAAGGGAAGGGATGGAGAGTCTCTGGCTGAGGCACAAAATCACCCTGACAGTGTAGCTTCCAAACATGGTTCAGGCACTGTACTGGGCTTATCAACTTGTGCAATTCTGGTCTGTGCAGGTTCCTTAGCGAATGGAGTTTGCCTACGAGCAGAACTTTTCTAGGTTTCTCAAATGGTATCTGATCACAAATTGAGTCCTTGCAAGGTTCTGAAAAACAGGAGCTGTTACTGAAGAGAGTGTTTTGGTGAGTTTCATCCTCCTGGAACACAAGAGGAAGAGAGTTAGGCAGGAACTCTAACAATAAATCCAGTCTCAAAATTCAAATTCACCTTCAAAGAATTATATTAATCCTATGATTTCCCCTCCCAACCCTGGGCTGAGCTTGTCTCTCTCACCTGGACTGGGATCGGTGTACAACTTTCCTGTTCCGGAGTTCTGGGCCCTTGCTTAGCAGAGACCAGTGTTTGTATTCTGACCCTGGATCTTTTCTTGCGACGTTTCTTCCTGCCTTTCCCGCGATGCCTTGCCCTCCAGCAGGCTGGTGCCATTTTCCCTTCGGTAGCATGGGCCACATTGTTCGGGATTTGATCAAGACTGTCTGACCGGCTACCAACAAGAAAAGCAAAGGACACATTTTAATATGACAAACAACAGGAGCACATCTTCCCTGGCCAATCATTGCCAATGAAACCAAACCAGACAGGAATGGACATTACCAATACTGCTTTCTCAGTAGGGAAAGTTACAAATGTAGCAGCATATTTGGCATTACACAGGAAAAAGATGTCATGAAAGAAGGTAGACAGCACTGGGTCCACTAGAAGACATTGTCAACGTATTTTGGAAGGTATAGATTAGCAAGGCCGTGGCGGGGAGACTATTGGAGCCACTGGCAGTAAAAATCATTGCCAAGTTGCTTTATTGGCACAGACTTGCTGTGTATTGCATGTATGTTTAATTATTAAGTTCACAATCTAGCTTAATTAAAAGAAATCTGTAAGTGTGCTGAGAACAAAGACCTTTAAATTTGCTTTTTAAAAGTAAGTAGAGTTAAAGAAAGGATCTGGACCAATTATTTTACAACAGAGTAGTCAAAATTTAAGCCAAAAACCTCTAGTCTGTGATGACTGCTACAGTAAAACGAAGCTAGTTTTACTAGGAAAGCATAGCTATGCAAACCAGCACCACCCAGAGATTTCTCTTTCAGAAGACAAATATTTACTTTATTAGTCATTCATTAGTCACCAGCCATCAGAAGTTGTTTGTTTTCATCTAACAGCAATGGCAGGAGAAGAAGAGGTGAGACTGCTCCTCACATGAAGAATTTCTAATTGTAGGTAAGTATCATGTATTGGTCCAAGCAGTGTAGCCATCTGCCCTTATTACTCTTTATGCAGTACCCATAGAGTTTTTCACAGCTTTTTCAATCATTCCCAGAAATCTCTTCTATCACTGCACATTTAGCTGATTTAGCAGCTGAGTTGTGAGTGCTAAGCTCATGACGAGATGGTAGCACTAAGCATAGTGCATGTTTCTTTGTACTTCTTACACACTTAAGGGATTAAATGATGTGACAGCACAATTTGCACTTTTTCAAAGGTTGCTGGCATAGAGGAAAACATCTACCGCACCAGTAGAAGGTAAGGCAGCAGTGGGTATAAAACAGAAGTGTCAAGCATACAGCCCTGTGAATCAGATCCACTCCCCTGGAAGCTTTCATCTGGTCTGTGGTGCCCTTAAACCCATATCAAAGCAATCCAGACTGGAACTTGTTCTGCAGGGCTAGGAGGAAGCTGGGCACTTGCTGAAAATGAGGAAGCTTATACCTGATTGGCCACAGGTAACCAAGCCCCACCATCTCTTACTCCAGAGCAACAACTCCTTTCGCTGACACCATCAGCACTGAGCTCTGCTTCCAAGTTCCCCATCAAGCCGCTGCTGCTCCTCATCTCAGCCAAGGCAGAAGGGCCCCAAAGTTCCACGTCCCCTTCCTGTGGCTGCTGCTCCCTGCCCTTCAATTTCCCTCTCCTGCCTTTCTCTGCCACCCTTCCTCTTTCCCTCTCTGGATTCCTGGCACTGCTACTGAGTCCTGCAACACCAGACTTATAGGTGTGGGTCCTTCTCCTCCCACCTTGCTCTTCCTGCTGCTGTTTCCAGGGAACAGGATGCTGACCTGCACCATCATTGCCCCCACCAGCCAATCCAGCCTACCACAGCTTTCCAGAGAAAGGATGCATGAACCTGGCTGAAGATACATTCTTCAGTCAGAGAAGACTGAAAAATGTCCCTTACCATGAACTTTCTTCCTCCAACCCATGGACCTAAACTGAAAGGGTCTTTCAGCTCCCACCTCAGGGTGATTTTGGTGTAACTGTTCACTGGGAAAGAATCAAGATTCTAGGGACGAACAAGGATGACTGCAAGATAGCTACACACATAGCCCTCAACATGCTTTGTGGGGCAGCATGTCACAGGACAGGATGTGATGCAAACGTAGAGAGGTTGGGAAAGTTACCTGGGTAAAAAAGTGTTGCAAGTTCCCCACACTCCTTAGAAAAAAAAGAGTTAATCAATTCTAAACAGAGTTTCTTTAAATAAACTGTAGCAGTATATAAAGGAGCACCACTGAAGTAGAGTGATGTGAGACCAGTAAATATTTATATGATTTCAAGAGAAACCAGAGTTATTTTAAAGGCCTCTCACCTGTAACGTTTACTATCAGCTATGAAAGGCCTCTCTGAAAAGGTGGGGCTGAACTCCTGGCTGTTCTCACCTGTAGGAGAGAAAACAAGATCACCATAAAGCTTAAATACTAGACAATGGTCTCCACTGATGGCAGAAAGTGTCTGAACAAGGAGATGGTGGTAACATCTTGCTGAACCAAACAGTAATTCAGGAAAATAAGTCGCCATATTGGTCATGACCAGGGATCTTAGAAATCAGGGTACCACAGAAAAATACAGAATTTGCATTTTAACAGAAAATCTTTAGTTTTTACATTTTGTGGGGAAAAAAACAAAAACAAAAAAACACCACACATCTATAGTAGAACCTTGCGCCACCAGCACACACACAGGAATATGGGGAATTAACACTGACAGCCCTGGGCATCAGGGTTCCTGCTGACAGATTTCGTTTTAACCACACACACAAACATACCCAAACACACAGATTTGGGTGTGTTTTTTAATTGGAGATTTTTTTTTATCTGGGGGGGGAGGGGAGGGATTCATCATGGAACACTAGGATCCCTGGTTATGACAGATTATGAAGAACTACAGTATTTTTTCTAACATCAAACACTCCCCAAACACTAGGAATCTTCCCTCCCCTTGCATCTTCTGGAATTTTCTCAAGAAATTCAGGACCTACTGCCATAGAATGTTCATTGCTGGACATAAAATCAGGGACCAATTGCCCTGGCTTGGGACTATAGTGTGAGTAGGTGCTGCTGTAGGAGCAACCTTATGCAGCTCTGAGAATACCCCCTAGTCATGGCCTGTAACAACCCTGCTATTCCATTACTTGGTCTTTATTCAGCAGAGACTGCCACAATAGTCAAAGGTTTGGTGATCTGGCTAAATGGGAACTGGAAAATGATCACCAGATCACCAAATTCACCCTGCCTGCAATCACAAAGACAGATTCGAACCCAGCTCTCCAGAGATGCAAAGCTGGTGAAATGCCCCACTGCACTACCTACTCCCCTCAACAAAAAGCATCACACTGGGCAACTTACATTCAGCCTGGGCGATGATGGAAATGGATGCAGAACCCCCTTCTGTCTCTTCTTTTGCTGTTCCTTTGGTGATCACATCTTTCAGGATCTTCCATTGACTGTGGAAGGCAACTTTCTCTGAATCTTCTACTTTGCAAACACTGCTCTGCTTCTCACTCACTGTTTCACTCAGCCCTTTAGTAGCAGAAAGCTCCTTTTGGTGCCCGATGGTGGGGTCAGGAGCTCCTTGGCATGCAATTTCCATTACAGCCATTTCATAGGTTCACAAAGACACTGCATAAAAAAAACAAAAAACTTGTTATAATATTTTATCCTTCTGTAGATTCTTTCACTCAAGAGTCTCAAACAATTAAGTTTGAACATCTACATGAAGCAAGGGATAGCTTAAGTTTTGGTGGCATCATATGTTCCCCCAGGTCTCACAGAACAACCTGGGAGCTGTGAATAGAACTCTGGCATCCTGGGTCCCAGTTCCCTGCTCTTACCACTAGATCAGATCTAAATAAACTATTTCAGGTATTAAAAAGAAAGAGAGGAGACTAATCTAGGTTAAGACTGAAGATTTTTCCTTCATCTCATATTCATGTGGCCTAACTACAAACAGTAATTGAGCACAACCGTTTAAAAGCCCCGTCCTTTTAAAGAGGGAATGGTCACTTATCTCCATTCTGTTTCCTGAATGATTTATCTGGCGGATCTGCAGCTTCCATAGTCTCTGCACATCCCCTTACAACCTGTACTTTTGAAATGGTCAATATTCCTGGCTGTTCTCTCCCCTGCACTCCCTACCATCTTTGAATATTTTTCTTACAGTTTTTGTGTTAAGGGTGGTTGTTTTGGAGGGGGAGGGAGTTTGAGTTTGTTGGGTTTTGTATATTAAAAAGAGGAAAGTATGTTCTAGCTATTCCTTGCCTGTCATGAGTCATTTCCTCATTCCAATCCATCCACCAGTAAGAACGAGATCTTAAAGCAAATGCTTCTTTTATTAAACAGCTTGTGAAAATTCAGATTCCTATAGTAAGTGTAGACAGATGAATATTATAAGTCCCATGCTCTCCCTTCCCCCCCCCAAACGTAAGACAGGGAAAGGTGATGTTTAAATAAAACCCAGTGAAAGCAGAAACACAGGACTATTCCAAGCGCATGCTCATCAGCTTACTGAGTATCACACAGCACACAACAGACTCTGCTTTTGCTGGTCACTGCCTGGAGTAACAGAACTTAATCCAAACTTGCCCCTGGTGACTGCAGGTATGATCCTCAAAGGAGCACTGAGGGTGCTTAGCACCTCTCAGGATCAGTGCCTAAAGGGCCACCTTAGGAAAGAAACGAACTGTTTGGACCCAAGTGCACATACTTTTGTGTGGTTAGCAAATAAGGCCCCTAACAGCCTAGCAAGTATACAAGATAAGTCAACAAGGACCGCATTCAGAGGCTAATTGAACACAGATCAGCTGCTATGAGAAAGATGTGCTGGTGACAGAATCCTTCTCACTACACTAACTCCCCTCTGCCTCTTCTCTACAGAAATAATGTCAAGTCCAAGTGCTCTGAACTAATCTCCCGGGGCAGCAGAGAGTCAGCCTGCCAAACGACTGACTCAAGCCACCAGTGACCTAGTAGACAAGTTCAGAGCTATGCTCGAATTCACATTCTCCTAATTTGCAATAAACTTCCTTCGGACTCTCTCCTTACCTTCCCCTCACCCTTCCAAGACCCAGGGATATATCTGAACCCTACCCCCCAAAAACCACAAGCTAAAACATCAGTATCTTTCCCAAAAACTGCACCTCAGTTTTGTTAAATACATTTAGGGAAACTGAACCATCACATCAACTCCTGGTTCCCTTGAAATGGAAGGGAATCACACAGATATACTGACATTTAAGTCAGTGCGAGGAAGATTTATTTTGTGTGTAAATTAAAAAGGAGGAATACCAGTCTTAACAATAGGAATCCAATGTAGCTAGTATAAACAAGGCTCTTTATTAAATACACTGTAGAGTCAACTTAAGTGATTCAAGTCAATGGGGCTGTGAAGGAGTAAAAATCAAAAATTTGGATGAGTTTACCTGTTACCTCAAATTATACTGTAATGCTAATTTCAGTTTCCAACTAAGGACAACTAAGCTGTGGGAATTCTCACAGATATGGAGTTGGAAATGGGAGACTGAATAAAGAGGACTGGCCATCATGTTTATAAGCACCACATTCCCTGGAACCACAGGTTCCAATCCCAGCAGAGGAGATTCAGCCGTTCCCACATATGTAAACTCTGTTCCATGCACAGTTGGAGGTGTTAATCCCGAAAGGTGCCAGGTATCTACAACTCTTACTGATTTGGTTGCAGGCATTTACCACCTCTTGGCATACAGCTTTTTTCAGTTACATTTTAGAGAAAAGGTATTTTGGCACCTAACTAATTGAAATCAATGGGAGTTAGGTGCCTAAATACCTTTGAGGATCTGGGCCAAGGTCCTGTGGGCTCTGAACAGACATTAAAGATTTCATAGCACTATTCATAAGAGAAGTTTGCTCCAGGGCTCCCCATAGTGGGGCTGTGTTGCTGGTTGTCCATCAGGCTGACACCCTACCACTGCAGCAGCAATCACATTCCCATGAGGCTGTTAATACATACTCTAGCTGGTGAGAAAGAAAAATGATAAAGAAATGCAACATTTATTAGGACTATATTCTGCAGTTAAGCCAGGTGTGCCCAGTTTCGTTAATGAAATTGCTTCTTTAATTTCAAGCCTCATTTTGCCAAAAAAAAAAAAGACAAACTCAATGATTAAGCTAAATGTAAACACTTCCAGATTTCTTCCCTGCCTGACCATGAAGACTTGCTCTGAAAAAACAGACCCATGAAAAAGAAACAACAAGAGGGGGGCAGCCACGTAGCAACAGAGCTAGGAGAGGCAAACACTATATCACCTACCTGCAGTTGACCTCACTTAGCTCCATCATAGTTAGAAACTAACTGCACCTTGTCTCTGCTAAGATTTTACAGTGAGATAACTGATGCATGTTGGCTATCTCACTGTAAAAAAAAAACACACACCTTTTTTGGCAGCAAAGACATAGCCATAGCTTACCTTCCCTCATACGAGCAGCAAATTGAAAATTATCGTACAGCACTACTGAAAATGTACAGCCATTGGTCTGATGGCTTCAGGGACTCTTTCCCCAAATAAATTTGTTAGTCTCTAAGGTGCCACAAGTACTCCTGTTCTTTTCCCCCAAATAGGCACCCAAATGCCACTGAAGTTCAAAGGGAACAGAGTGCTCAAATCCCTTCAGCTCCATTAAAACCCCAGCCTTGATCACTTTGCTTTTCTGATGCACCACTCATCCACTCCAGTTCTTCGTCTGAACATTGTCTACTTCGATTGGAAGCTCTTTGGGGCAGGGACTTTGTCTCTTCAGACAAACACACTTTTACTGTGATTTTAAATAAACTTTAAACAAGAGCTTAGATTTATAGCTGGACAAGGGTGAAGCAGATCAGAGCATTTCAAAGTCTGAAAGTCTATAGCACATTATACCTGCTACTAATCAGTTGCTGTGAAGATCAAATCTCCCCTGCCAACTGCTATTTTGGAAGGGTTCTAGTCAGCATTTTGTCAGGGCAGTCAGGCAACTTATATTTTGCCATTTGGGAGTTCTGCCTTAAGTCAATTTATACATTTAAGAGGGCTACTTTAAAAAAAATCTAAGGCTATTAGAAGACATGTATAGCTATAATGTCCAACAACTGTTTTAGACTGACATTGTTTGAAATAAATAGCTGCCTCTGGGACATGAGTTTTATGAGCAATGCATTTAACTCCGGTCACCCATAAGTTGCTTTTGGTTTATTAGAACATGCAATTAAAGTCTTAGCAACATTACTTTGCTGACCCATACCTGGCCACCAAAAATTAAGCTTCACAACTGCAGGATGCAGCCAGGAATTTACACATCACACCAACAGGGAATGCTACGTTCCCATCCCCTAGACAGATTTTTTTGGGACCTCTAATTCCCAACAAGTGCACTCCCATCACAGACAGGAACTGAGGAAGCAAAGAGTAGTCCAAGGCTCAGATGTCTGATAAGTTAGACAACATGATGGTTAAAAAAAAAAGTCCTTGAGCCTGTATGATCTCTTACCCACATCATAGCTGCCACAAGGAGAATAGCACTTGTGGAAAGTTATAGATCAGTTATAGGCCCAACAGAAAAACCTTAGAATATAGAATGCTCTCTGAAGCTGAGAATTTTGTACAGAACTACAAGATGCCAATTCCATCATGTAAAAAGTCCATTATCAACTCTGACAGTTCTTAAAAGTTTATTATGCCTTCTTTAAAGCTTATAAATTATGTTTTTCTGCCATCTTTTCCTTCCTCAATTTGGATGGTATACATAGACCTCCTCCACCGCCCATGTTTCAATGGAATTGAAATTAAGATAGTTCTGTTTTTTCCTTGTCAGTTCGAGCCATATTATGGCAGCATAGCTCTGGGGTTGTTTGTTAACTAGCACAGTCAGCATGGGGAAGTTTCAGTTTGTCCCAGAATGGATTAAAGAAATATTTAGAATACAGAGAACATTCCCCCAACAATTTACTGCAATTTTAAGGTATCGGCAAAAAGATGATTTCTGGAAATCTTGGGTACCTGATGGAGTTAAATGTAGGCTTTGTGCAGAGACTTGGTGTTTGATAACTGAAAGCAGCGTGGGTTAAATGACTTGCTATCCTTCTAGAGAAGGGTTCCCCACCTCTTGCACTACACTTTTCCTTCCACAGACAAGAATATCTATAAGGACCAGAGAAGGTTAATTGGTCCATAATAGATTGGCAAGTGCTCCTATGCAAAACAGTGTATTTTAATGAATTATCATCAGGCTAAAAAAGTCATATTAAAAACAGCTTTCCTCATGTTAATACATTTTGAAAACTTTGGGGGTTTAATTGAAGGTAAGTTTGTATAATTTATACTGCTTACTTTTTACACTTGAGTGACTAATGAACTAGAATAGTGAATAGTAATAAGAAATAGTAGAGTCATACACCACTACAATGCTGCAATGTAATACAATGCTGCAGGGAAATATTTGTTTGGATTTAAAACTTTAGTGAATTAAAAAAAATGCTTAAACATGTCTATCTTTAATTCCCCTCCCCCCACCATACACACACACACACTTATGTCTAGGGCCCAAACTATCTCCTAATGACGTTCTTTTCATATTATTGAAATGGGATGAGATTCGCAAAAGCTATTTGCCCAAATGTGACATACCTTCACGTTTACCCATTCCATTCAAGTTAGCAGAGTTAAAATTTGCAAAGCATTTTGTAAATAACTCATAGAAGCTGCAAGTATTAAGTTAGTAAGCAATCTAGACAAGGTTTTATTTTCAATGAAGTTTAGTTGTTTGTACATCTCCATCAACCTTCATGATCCAGTAGTCCAACACAACATCCTGACCTCATTTTTTAAAAAGCCATTTCTTAAGCAAGCTTATTTGCTAATATTATATCCCCAGCTTAAAATAAGATGGTATTTAAAAGGGACATTCCCATCTAGGTCCTATCTACACTACAAAAAACTGCAATGTTACAATAATTCAATGTTTTCTGTGTAGACAGGACGAAACGGTCACCAAATATTATAAATATTGTGAAATCCAATGCCAGAAGACACACTAAAATGGTTTGGTCCCATCTACACCAACCATGCTACTTCTCCCCCAGACCCTTACATGACATATTTTGTAATATCAACAGGAAATCAGCTTTCACTTAAATGGTTTTACTAAACTTAGTAGCAATCGAAGCATTTCCATATAAGCTTCATTTAAATATTCCCCTTTAATCTTGTGAACCCAAACACAAGATCATAATGGTGAATGAGACTCAAAGTCAAACTGACTCATTTAGTTTCACTGTCCAATCTGAGAAAAATACTATTAGTCAAACAGTAATATTTTAAAGATTTATAGTATCTACAATTTCAACTTTTAGATTGAGAACCATTTAGGTATTTCTAGAGCACTCATCACCGTGGTATCAAGATGCCAAATACAAAAATGAAGAATCCCAACAATTTTGTACAAAAAACCTGGCCTCTCCTTCCACATAGCTGTTGCTACTAAAAGGTTAAAGTAACAGTATGCTATTCAGAGACTCGGCTTCTTGTGACAGCTATCACTTAGTAGCTCAATTTTTTTGAATGAGCTGTCAGTTATGATAATTGCACAACCATTAGATTTAAGATAGTTAAATGTTAATATAAAAACTTATAGTACTTTTGATGCTCAGATTAATTTGAAATTAAGATTTGAAGACATCCATATGTCGACTCACACTGTGCATAGACAAAGAGGAAATATCACTTGTATGAGAGCTCAGAAATCCGGTTTAAAAAGCAACTTGCAAGTTGTTTATGGACACCAATTTCATGCTGCCACTTTCAATTCGTGCATGGTAGCGCATGTATGTTTCCAGTTTAACTGATATTAAGATGAAGCAGACAGGAAGCATCTGAAATCAACCGCAGCAGTGACTTATTAATCAGCAAAGTAGTATTTTAACTTTTTGTCAAAAAATGTTGTTTTAAAGAGAAGTGATATGGTCAGATAATGAGTGGTGAGTAAACATACAGTTATACAAGTGAATAAGATCTGAAGTTCAGTTTATTTTGATTGGCTGATCTCAAGGTTTCTGCCTCATTCTCTCCTCCCCATTGTAAAGGATAGCTTTTGTAGATCTGCACCTAGCAACTCCCAATCAAAACAGCAAAGTCTGCAATTTAATCTCCTAACTTATTAGGAGTGCTTCTTTGCTGTGAAAAGCAGAGAGCAGGCAGGAAGCAAGGTATTTCAAAAATCAAAAGGGAAAGTCTGCTCACTAGTAGAAAAATACCATCTAAGCTAAAAATGTCTCTTAGACTCTGAAGCTCTCACCAAAACACATGGAAAAGAAAGAGTAGGTTCAATTGAATTCAAGGCGCTAGTATTTGTAGAATGAAAATACATATTAGTCAATAATGAGATCACTTAGGAATACTATGCTTTTGTCAAGAATGTTTCATGAAACATTTGCTAAAAATATTTCACATAAAGTTGATAATAAATGTGAAGATGTTTGGGTTAGACAACACCTGGGTGGATTCCAAAGGAACAGAACAACATTCAGCTATATATACAAACCTTGACTAAATACTTAACGTTAGAATACATACACACAAATTTCAGAGCGATTAGAAATCTGTCACTCTTTCAGCACTCCACTGAATGAATGAAGTCGATGTTTTACTAATACCATACGTCACTGTTACTCTCGAAACATTCTGGATATCAGAGATTACTGGCAAAGCCAATCATGTCAAATTGTAACAGACTAAAAAATAAGAGAGTTTAATTTAACAAGTTCAAACAAACAGCCTTTGCTGATGCTTCCCGACAGAAGGTTCAAACTGAGGAAGTCAATTTATTACAAGAAATAGCTCGGATTTCTGGTATAGGAACTTTTTTTTATAGCGCTAGTTACTTTAACAGGGGTTTTACTGTTTAACATTTAAAAACACTGAATTCAATATTAGAATGCTGCAAGGCTGATTACTAAAACTGACATACGGGAGCTACGTTTCCTTGGCTTCATGTCTATCCAGACCAACCAGCCAGTGGTGCACTGGGGTGCTAACTAGGACGCTTGCCCTCGCCCTACAGTGACTAGAAGCGAATATTGCTGGGGGTCCGATCCCGAGCCCCCCACTTCACAGCCCGACCACCCGCATGGTCCCCAACCCCCTCCGCGACGGCCCCACAAGCCGCGTGGGGAACCAGCGCCCCTGCAGGAGCCGGCCAGCCAAGCCTGGGCGCGACACAGCTAGCGGGTGGACTTCCTGAAGGCAGCGTGCCGCCCGCCCGCCCGCCCGGCCGGCCGGGGGAACCGCTCGGGAACTCCGCGGCCCCGGGGCCCCTCACGTCAGCCAGGGGGTGGCCCCCGCCCCCCGTGGGCAGCGAGCGCGGGGCTGCCCGAGGAGGGGCCCTGCCAGGGCGGGGCGCACGGCCCGAGGGAAGCGCCCCGCGCTGGGCAGGACCTGGCCGCCTGGCGGGGCACGGCCGCCGGCGCTGGGTGGTGAGGGGGGAGCGATAGGGCCCCCAGCCGGCCGGCCGGGGGAGTAACGGGGACGCGCCCCTCGGCCGCGTAGCAGGGGGAGGGGCCAGGCGGCCGGCACGCTCCGCGCCCGCCGAGAGCGCGCTCACCTACCGCTCCGGTCCGTGCGGGGGCCTCGAGCGCGGCGCGGCGCGGCCCCTCAGGCTCCCTCCACGGCGCCTGAGAAGTTCGGGGCTGGGGGCCGTGTCTGCCACGGCACCTGCCTGGCCACGCCCCTAGGCCCGCCGCCCAATAGCCGCAGATTCTAGCCTGCGGCCAACGCCCCTTCTTTGAGGCGGCCCCGCCCAACCGCCCTGACCCGCCTTCTCGTCACGCCCCCTCCAGCCCACGAACCAATCAGCGCGCACACTCCTTCCAGCCCCACTCCGCCGGTTCGGAAGCGATAACCGCTCCCGCCCTCTGACGCGACGAGAGATTTCCTGGGCTTTCATTGGGCGGAGGGGGGCCTGTGGTTTCCCAGAAGTGGGCGGGGCTTCTTGCAAACCATTTCCCTTCCCCCTCTGGGCGCGGCAGGAATCGTCCGATAGCGCGTGCGCAGGTTGAGGGCCGCCGGCTGTTTATTTACCAGCTGCGGAACTGAGTCGGGAGGGAAGCGGAGCTGCGCGTGCGCGGGAGCATTAGGCCGTTAAGCCGCTTTTGACTAGCCGAAGCCTCGGTCTTCCCGCCCTTGTTTCCTCAGGGAGGGTCCGTAGTGGGCCGCGGCTACGGGCCGCGGCGCGCAGCTCCCACGCGCCAGAGCGGCCCGGCTGGGGCAGCCCCAGGGTCCGCCGAGCCTCGTGTCCGCTGTGTGCGGGGGCCGGGCTCAGGGAATGGTCAGAACAAGTCTCCCGTGACCCAGCCCCTGTGCTCCGGGGCCATGGGGCGCCCAGCGCAGGGGGTTGGTCCCCGCCCGCCCTGGCGAACAGCCATCGGCGGACCTGCCCTCCAGGAACTCGGCCCACTCTTTTCCGAGCCCCGTTATTCATTGGCCGTCCCAACCCCCCCCCCTGGCAGCGAGCTCCCGCTTTTCCCTGGGGGCTGCCGCTTAGGGGGACCAGCTGCCCCGATTTTATAGGGACAGTCCTGATTTTTGGGTCTTTTTCTTATACAGGCTCCTATTACCCCCCACCCCCGTCCTGATTTTTCACACTTGCTGTCTGGTCACCCTACTTCAGCTATCGGAGCGGAGTTTCCTAGAATAATTTTTTTCACCTCAGTGAAGCACTGAAGGGACTAAAGAAATCCACAGCCAAGGGCCTAAGCAACACGTCTACCAGCTCCTGCCTTCGGTGGCTGCTGTTTGGGGCTTGCAAACCAGCACCACCCATCCACATCAATGTCCCTTTCCCCTTAGCCTTGTTTAGAAACAGCAAACTAATCTCAGCCTTTTCCCCCCACAAGGCACTTTGGAATGACAGGAACTCCACTGCTGTCCTCCCACGCTGCAGCTGACTGCCAGGGCTGTGATGCTAGATTGTTGGCTGTTTACCAGGGCTGAGGGTTTGGCAGAAGTATCTTCCTAAGACTCTGCTGCAAGTTTCTTCAGTGAAAAGGAGAATAAAAAAGGCTGTATTGAGGGGACAATCTTTTCTGCTCACTTTTAGGTTTTCTTAGCAAATCCTGTGACTGTTCAGTGCTAGCATTTTGTACAGACCACTGCAGATCAGGGAACACCAAAGCTTTGACCATTTACTGCTATGCATGCCCTGAGCCTTTGGTCCAGTCTCTTTTATTTATAGCCAGTGAGCCATATCATTGTGATTCTTATAACTCCCTGCAGTTCCTCCCAGCTTGCTAGTGCTCAATCTTGTAATTAAAATCTAAGGTGTTTAAATTTAAGTTTTTCTACAATGCTTAAATCACTGAATTGTGCCCATAAGTGCAAAGGAAAAGTGGTTGTGGGAGCTGTTAAAGTTACAATGTGTACATAAACTATTATTCATCCCATGGCTTTTTGGATTAAGTATCCAACTATTCTATGGACCAAAAGGTGAGGTCCTTAATCCTGCAAACTGTCATTGACTTCATGGGATTTCTGCTCTACAGCTTTGCTGTTCCTCCTCCAGTTTTGCTATAGCTGATGTCTCATTTTAAAGATAGCAAGATGTAGCTGCATAAGATTTTTGAAATTCAGAATTGGTTTCAGAATTCATTGCCAAATATACCATTAGACAACTGTATTCCCTTTTGTGTAAGCTTGCTGTGTGCACCACTGTCAGCTATTGGAAGTGATGCCACACTTAATCATAGAATATCAGGATTGGAAGGGACCTCAGGAGGTCATCTAGTCCAACCCCCTGCTCAAAGCAGGGCCAATCCCAGACAGCTTTTTACCCCAGTTCCCTAAATGGCCCCCTCAAGGATTGAGCTCACAACCCTGGGTTTAGTAGGCCAATGCTCAAACCACTGAGCTATCCCCCCCCAGATAAGCACTTGTTCAAGTGTGACTGTCATAAGCCTTAATACCATTATAGATGATAAAAGGAAATTCTCCTTTAACTCAGGTGATGAGGATTTGGGTGATTGGAGCAGCAGGAACCAAGTTCTCTCCCTTCATAAATTGTAAAGTCCTTTGTGACCATTTATCTCTCACAATCCTATCACTCAGCCATTGGTTGTTCATACAGCAGCAGTAGCATGTGGGCAAAATGTGAAAAAAAGGTGAGAAGGGAGAGCTATGCTTGATGTAAAAATTCCACCAACTTGTGCATTTCCTAAAGTATCAGCCAGTGTTTACCTAAAATGATATAAAATAAGGCAGAAAAGGAGAGGACAACAAGTGTGGTAGCACCTAGATACTGCAGCTAGGCTGGGTGCTCAGTTGGATAGTCATGTACTCATCAAGAAAAAGTAGTGAGCGTCTGAGCAATATGAAATAGTAACATTTAAAAGGCTCTCTCTGAATTAGTCTTTTACTGGGTGGGGTATAGGAAAGCTTCTGTGATGTCTCATTGAGTCACATCTAGTTTTTAAGTATTCTGCAAGAAGGCAGACCAAAATGAAACCTTTTCAAGAATTAGAACTGGCCCCAGGTGGTATGTGTGACCACCCTGCTATAGTGAGCAATGAAGTTTTCAGAAGATCAGATAGACAGCCTTTCCCCTTTTTATTTTAGCCTCTTCTCTTCTGAGAAGGACCTCCTCTCTCTCCTTCTGCACTTTGCTGCTGCTGTTCAAGAGACTTTAAACATTGTATATTTCCCCCAGTGACCAGACAGCAAGTGTGAAAAATCAGGACGGGGGCAGGGAGGTAATAGGAGCCTATATAAGACAAAACCCCAAATATCAGGACTGTCCCGATACAGTTGGGACATCTGGTCATCCTACCCTTAACAGTTGTCAGCTGATTTAGTTTTCAGCTTCTGATTTACATGGATAAAGATTTCCCCATGTGATTTCAGGTCTTCTCCATGGGACAGATAAAAGTTAAACACAAACAAGAGACCATAACTTGTAAGGAGTTCTGAAGGAAAGGAGTTTGTTTAGCAATTGTAGCCTGATGTTCCCTGTGCATTTGTGCAGCATCTGGCCACCCACTCACTCCCTTTGGATTGGCTGTGGGCAGCAGACTTCTTGTGGCATTTAAGTGATATGCTGTGGCTTGCGGGAGGATGACTAACAGCCTGCAGCAAGCAGCTTCGAACAGAAACCACCACGGAGGATGCTCTGAGCAATCTTGAAACTTCAGCTGTAGCAGGATCCTGTTTTTCTGGTTAAAGGTACACAGTCAGTTCCCTCCACCTCAAGCACACACTTGTGCCCAGACTTCCCTCTTCTACATGCAGTCTTGTCACTGGGCCATTATCCCCTTAGGGTAGAGTTCCTCAGCCTTTAACTGGAGTAAGGTTCCTTCATAAAGGAATGGAGCTGCACAAAGCCACAAAATAATCCCATCATAACATGCAAGCTGCACAGTGATGTGTTATAATTACCAGAGCATATCATACTTTGCAGTTAGCAGGCCTTTCTATGACTACTTAGTCCAAGCCAGGACACCAGGCATCACCAGTTGTGTTGGTCAGTCTGAGAGCTTGAGAACCACAGGATCTGCTATACCAGCCCTAGGAATGCTCAGCTGAGATAGTGTTGCAATTCTTTGGACTAATGATCAGTCAAGACTCTTCCACCTCTTAGGTCTATGATATTCTACTCTCCAATGATGAATGTGGAACTATAACTAGCACAGAGGGGAGGAAGGTTGAAAAATGCCACAACCATAAAAAAAGTTTCTGAATTTTCACAGATTTTAGTAAGGTTCTGTCTTGGAACTTCTGATTGTTTCTTCACCAAATTATCTTGGTAGAGTAGTAGAGATGTTCGCACCATGCAGAAAAGACCTTACTGGTTCTTTTCTGCCCCTGGCTCACTGGGATTAAGCATGGTTAGAACTATGGAAAGAGGACACTAAGCCTAATCTTTAACAAAACACAACAGAATCTGGAAGTGAGCTATTCAAGCTACATTTTCTTCCTCCACAGTTCCTTAAATGTTTCATCATGATTCACAATCCTTCATACCCAACCCTACTATAAATATGCACCCTTCCAAAATGTTGCCCAAAAACTAAATGAATATTTTGCCTTGATTTTCAGTAAGAATGATAACATGAAACATGTGCATGGAGGCAGTATGGCTAATGGAAACGAGTGTCTAGAAATGGAAATTACCATGTCTCAGGTGGAAGAAAAATTTAAAGATACTAATGAGCTCAAATTGGAGGAGGACCAGATAATTTCCAGCACAGAATACTGAAAGAATTGGCATTTGAGATTACTAGTCCAGTAGCAAGGATTTTTAATACATTTATATATTCAGGGATAGTACCATATGACTGGAGAATAGCTAATGTTGTACCTATATTTAAGAAAGGGAAAAAAGGTGATCTGGACAGTTAAAAACCTGTTAGTCTGACCTCTGTAGTATGCAAGACTTTAGAAAAATTGTGAAAGAAAGAATAATTAAATTAATGGAGGGTAAGTGGTAGAGGGGATGTAATGCAATATGGATTTTTGAAAGGTGGATCATGCCAGACTAACTGATATTTTAGGTAAGGGAAGTGCAGTAGATCGATATACCTGGACTTCAGTAAAACATTTGCCATGGTATCATATGGGGAATTATTAGCTAAATTAGGGAGATGGAGATCAGTACAAGAATTGTAAGGTGGATAAGAAACTGGCTAAAGAGGAGAAGGCAACAAGTTGTGCTGAAAAGTGAATTATTGGACCAGAGGGAGGTAATTAGTGGAGTTCCTC